CGTAGGCCATTCTTGAGGCACTGAGACCAACTTGTACTCATGATGGCATGATACATGATTTTTTGACGTTCTGCATTTATCAATGTTATTTCACAGCCCTAAAGTGCTTAATTTATCTCTTCTACATGAATCAGGATTCATGGAACTGAGTTAGCAGAAATGCCATTCATAGGCACAAGGGGCATGTATCGGGGCCAAGGGATGTGCCATCGACTGCTCAATGCAATTGAATCGGTAATTTAGTTTGACATTTGTTTCTGATCTTTGTTGCACAGCCATGTCACATGTGCATATGGGCATTTGGAGTTTGTCCCCCCCTCCCTCCCCCCTATTTTCCTTGGGCAATTAAGATTTCTTGCATCGATCGTCTCCGTGAAAATTTCTACCCTGTTATAGTAGGCTAATGATATTCTTGTACATTTGTTCCTGTATTTGTTGTAAACAACAGCAGTATGTTTTCTTGATTGATTTGTTCATCTAATTGTCAGGCAAGCTTGTATTTGTGATATATACTTTCAATATGTGACCTTTCATTTCTTACCTATTATACCTGCTATGCGCTGAACTGACTATGTTTTTTTTTGAGCAAGAACTGACAGACATGTTGATGAATGCATAGTTGTTCTGCAAAGTGTACATTATAGTCAGGGTTTGGATTTCAAAATCATGATTGTAAGAGTTACTGCTTGGAACCAGAAATCCTGGTCGGCACCAGGATTTTGTTTTTAATGATGGGAGTATGCTTTTTTGAGCTGCATTGAGTTGTTTTGAACTTTAAATCTGAAGAAAAAGGACAGAAAAAGGGAAATGTGACTAGGATTGGACTCGTAACTGCACAGTTGCTAGCTCCTAAGCTACCAAGGCCATCTTCAATTTTCTTTTGAGGAACCCAAGGCCATCTTCAACGCTAAACACTTATATCGGCGCTTAGGGAAAACGAATAAACATCGTAAAAATAAGATAAAAATCATCTGAGCGCCTTCTGTTTCAATTGTAGACGATAATTACGGTCGCTAGCAAAGTTGGCCGCCGCACACAGCTTTTTACCCCGCATGAAAACGAAACAAGCGCCCGACACCTCTTTTTGAGTCGATGCCATCCCAGACATCGATGGCCCAATTGCCTATCTACCAGGAAATCAATCCTGGCACCCTGCGTTGGTTATGACCTAATGGAAGGTAGAAGCTTCTCCCGGAAAGGTTCTGCGACCTGGTTATTGGTGTGCATCCTTGTAGCACTGTTGCATAATGGTGACCGTGTAACGGAGACATGCGTTATGGAGTTGCATTAATTTGTCTTGATTTTTAATGAGCGACAGGAGTCATTTTAGAAAAAGCATCAAGTGTATTGAGTTTTAGTTGTTGGATTAAGGGATTGATATTGGTTTTTCATACTTACTGCTTACTTACGAAGCCAAGTTTAAGGCTTTAAGCTTTGTGTTTATCAGCTGAGGAAGTCCTTCTAACTGTGTTTGCATTGTTTTGTTTCACATGAATTTCTAACATGTTTTAGGGTTGATTCTTCTGTAGGCCCTTTGCTCTCTTAATGTTCGAAGACTAGTAATACCTGCCATACCCGAAATGCAGAAGACCTGGACTACAGTTTTTGGGTTTAAGCCTGTTGGCCCTATGAAGAAGCAAAAAATGAAGTCTTTTAATCTCTTGATTATCCATGGTACTGGTCTTCTGGAGAAGCGCTTGTTGCTAACAGCTCAAGTGAATCGACAAACTGCTTCTGTGACAGGTCAAAATCCAAACTATTTTGAGAATTGTTTTCCATGATTTCCCTGTTATGAGTATTGTAATTCTGTAGTTTTATATTTCAACATTGCTCCCTATTCATGCAGTTAATGCCGTTGAATGTGACAAGACAGCTTCTCAAACGTTTGGGGAAGCAAGTGGATCCCTTACACCTGTTTATGTTTCTCAAGAATTTGCTGTGGGTGGTCATCCTGAAACTAAGGATCATGACACTTGTGCTTTGATTGAGGGCTCTTCAGGCTTGGCATCTAACCTTCCTCCTGTTTCTGAAGAAAAAACTGAAGAAACTATTTCAACAGTTTCCATAGCTGATGTTAATTTGCATATAAGTGAAGATGACATGCCTTGCAAGGCTTTAGCTGACATTACGGAAAAAGTGAAATATGCAGAAACAGATTTGACATTGGTTGCTGATAAGATTGTTGTAGAAGAGAAGCCTGAAGATAAATCTAGCTCCAGTTCTGCAGATTCAAAGGCTATTCCAGTGACAGTGGATCCATGCCCATGTTCATTTGATGAGCTTGGGAAATATGAAAATTACCCACCTAGTGTACATTCTGTTGATGCTGTTCTCGTAAAAGACAGACCTGAATCTAATTTCAGCACCAGTTCCATCTCTGGCCGCTTTGATACTCAAGAAGATAAGAAGTCTTGTGTAGTTCCTGCTAATACTGAAGTTCCTTTAGTCACTATGGGTCGAAAGCCTGATAACCACGAGTTCAAAACTATTGTCGCTGATGGTGGTGATATGCAAAGCTCACTAGAAGTTAAATATTTGGAAGTTCTAGTAGATGAAAGATCAACAGATGCCTATGCAGCTAAAAATAAAGCATTTGTTGGTGGTGTAACTAGTTATGCTGTTGCTGTTACTAAAGACAATGGTCATTCTGCAGTTGATCTTGTAGTATCAGCAGAGAGATCACTGGATGAAACAAATTCTGTAGAGTGTGATAAGAGTGAAGTTAAGGTTGCAACAGTCGAAGTGGGTGCTATAGTCGAGAGCTCTAATGGGGCAGGCATTACAGTTTCGGCGCTTGAAAAATCAGATGACTTCAATGGTGAAGTTACCGCAAAGCCTACTCTAACTTGTGGGGATGGTCAACTTCATTGAGAGGATGGAGTATGCAATAGTAGCATGAAAGATGGCCTAGCTTCTAGAGACCCTGTTAATGCATGAGTTCTACATTTGGTGCTACAATATGCTGAAGGTATTTTTCTAGGGAGACAATTTTCTTGAAAATAGACACAATCTTATGCAAATGTGATAATTTCACACTGTCATATCAATGGCAGGAAATATGCACTCGTTTTTGTTTTGAACTTGCAGTGCAAATAGGAATAGTTGGTCTTCCAAATGTATTTAAACGTTTGTTATGTAGGAATGACTGAATTCAATCCCGCGGTTCAGAATTCCCATGCTTTTCTTGTGCAACAAAACCGTCATAACTCTTAGCCGTGTAGCTGGATATATATGGTGCAGAACCAGGACAAATTTCTTCTAAAAAATTCATATACTCCCTCCATTTCGTAGTGTATCCTGTCTTAGTTTTTCACGTTTTTCCCCACATCATAACATGTGTTACGAAATCGAGGCACAATGAGTCGATGCATGCAGGAGCAGCGGCTCCATGAGCCCCAATGCTTGAAGCCTAAACAACGCCTCTTAACTCTTCCTTGGTATGTGAGTTATTGCTAAGATGCACTCGATCCTTTTTGAAATTGGAGTACTTTTTTGGGATGGTATGGGTAAAAATGATACATGAGATGGAAGATATAGTTTAAGAAAAGGGCAGCTGGGTGCACGTAGCCCCCGCTTGCGCAGGGTCCAGGGAAGGGTCCGATCACTTTGGGTCTTGATAATAGTTCAGCAACTCAAATATATTTTGGACCATCTTTTGTGCAGATGCATCTACCTCATTGTCATGCTTGATAATAGTTCAGCAACTCAAATATATTTTGGACCATCTTTTGTGTAGATGCATCTAGATGCATCTACCTCATTGTTATGCTTGCTTGACTGATAACTTTGTTGAATAGGTGGGATCAGGGAGCATACAAGGAGATGCCACATTTCTGGAAGTTTTGGATTCGATGAGATGTTTTCTTGGGATAGTCAATCAAGTTGCTGGCTCCAAGGAATACTTTGCTAGCCATCAACTTCATGGGACATTAATTCTGACTACAGTCGTTTCTTTAAAGAACTGTTGGGAGATACTCGGGCTGGGATGAATGGACATTTTTGGTAAGATAATGTTTTCATCGCATGTATGCCAATTTTACTGTGGATGGATGACTATGATCCTTGGAAGTGGATGACCATGTTCTTTTTTAGCAATTTAGCAATCAGTTGTTGTGTTTATTAGCTGTCGGAAAATAAATGAGCTAGACTACATCATCTGGTGTAATGGGAGGGGAGTGGCAACAGCTCTACACCCAAGTAGCGAGGTCTATGTCTCACTGCCATGGATTGTTGATGATTCAGGAGTTTTGTGGCTTCTTGGAGGCTGTATCAGATGATGAAGCTTTGCTAGTTTTTTTATTAGGCACCTAGTCGCATCAGAGTGACACCCCAACTGGGTCACTCTTTTTGTTGTTGTGTACATACAGTATCTGCGAGTTCTGTCATCTCCTATAAACCTCTGCCCACCTCCTCAATAGGAGGTATGTTTCAGGGTATAGATCTTTGCTTTACCCTTGTACACATCTATACAATCGCCATGGAAGTACAAACCAATCGATGCTGCATTCGCTAGGCGCTGATGCTGCGACTCGCAGCATTGCTCCTAGATCTGTCATCTGTACAATCTGTCATTTCTGTTGATGCTTCAGTCGGTGTCCTGGATGATGCTTCAGTGAGCTATTGCTCGTTAGAGACATGATTAGGTTCAGCATGGAGCTCGCAAGTTTTTCAAATACTGACAACAGCCTGTTTTTTTTTTAATTCCTGCAATGTTTAAGTCAATTCCTCGGTTCCAGACATGAGGTCAGTTCAGCTGGCTATGTGTCTGAGAATGAGCTTAAGGCCTCTTTTGATTCATAGGATAGGATTATCGTAGGAATAGGAATTTTGTAGGAAATGAAATGGCATGTATCTCAAATCCTATGAGTAGGAATAGAAAACGAGATGTAATTTGGTTGACATCAAAGGAATTTTTACATTGAGTCTAGGCTCATTTATATTTTTCTATGAAATGTGAAGGGTAGGAACCAATCCTATGTAGGAATAGGAATCTATTGCTAAGAACCAAAGGGCTCTAAAGGAAAAAATTCTATAAGAATCCTATCCTCTAGAATTCCTATGAAATTCCTCCAAATCAAAGGAGGCCTAAATGGGAACTTACTTCCTTCATCCTAAAATACAATATCAATTTTGGGAGTATAAGCAAAGGCGTGCCTTGCTGCTGTTTGTTATGTGCCGATGTTGAAGGAGATCTATTTTACATGAAATATTGATTTGGTGATGATTATAATGCATGTAACTTCGCAATTTAGTAAAAGCAAAGAAAACCGCAAAGCAGCCAAATCAACAATGCTACTTCCCCAGAACAATCATGAAATTTTGGCCGATTTGCTGGAGACAATGCACGGTTGAACATGGACATCCTTGGTTTTGTTAGCTTAGCAGTCAAAATACGAACCACTGCGAAAGTAATCATTAATCAGTGAAATTAATAGAGAAGGCTAGGATGCGGATTTTTGTTTTGGGACATGGTACCACGCGAGGATGTTATCCTGGCCGATGATTGCTGTCATGTATTCACACTTAATATTGTGGTTGGTGGCAGTGGCGGCGCACCATCTGCCTTTGGATTGACGGTGGCGGCGTGGAGGGCCTGGTGGCCGCGTCGGCGGCACCTTTGATTAGATTTGTTCTGATCGGTGCAGCCGGCGATGGTGGTCATCTCTTTCGTCAGAGGTGGCCGGCATACGGCTGGGTGGTTGGATGTCAAGATTCGTCATCTAGTTCCGGCTACCGAGTCTGGGAGACATAGTCACTAGTGAAAACCGAGTTGTTGGTGGGCGGTGGCGGCGTTTTGCGCCGTTACCTTGATGAAGGCATCGTCGTGTAACTGTTGTCGACCCACTTGTGCTGCTTCGGAGAAAACCCTAGGATCCGGTCTTTTAGATCGGACGATAGCAGTATTATGGTGTCGTTTCTCTCTTAGGCATCGTTTGCGGAGCAACGCTGGAAGACAGAGGCAGGAGGTGGAGCGGCTTCGTCTTGCACCGAGTTTCGGTGGAGCTGTCAAGTCATGCCTAGTCGACAGGTGGTACACTGAGTCATGCCTGGTTGGCAGGTGCTATGCACGACGGATCTTCCAGAGTCTTCACGTCTGGACGGACGAGCGTAGGGTGGTGGCGCCGTTGGGCGTTGTGCTGCCGTCGACGGATGTGCGGATTGGCAAGAATGATGTGGATCTCTCTTCTTAAGATGGGTCAGTGGTCCGATGATGATGGCAACTTCTAAAATGTATGTAAGTGGTGTGCGTTTTAGGTAGGCTGCACCGGCTGTTGGTTCCGATTCGTTATGTGGATGGATCGGTAACGATATCGATTTTAGACATGGGGAGTGAAAACACTCTACATTATCAAGTTTATAGGTGTGAGTGATGACTGCAGATGAATTGATGTACGATTTTATCAGACCTTTATGAAATAATTAATAAAGATGGCTAAATGCATCGATTGATGCAGAGGCCGGGGGTTTAACCTCTTTTTCTAAAAAAATCACACTTAATGTAATGCTGAACTGCAAACTGTGGCAATATTTAGGAAAAGTGAGTGAATACACAACATTAACTCAGTAGACATTGGCCATCTATAATTAAATTTGATGGAGAAAGACTGGTGTGTATATCGTCAGGCAGGGCTGCAGGCTACTGGTCAGTGTTAATCAGGCTACGGTCAGTGTAATTAACGTTCGTGACCTGGGTCGTACTAAATGGTGCCCGCTCCTAGTAAGGAAAAGTTACTCACCCAGCCTGCATCATGGATCCTTCGTCAACCTAGTGCATGGGACCTAGTTCGTCGGATGTTGAAAGTTGTTGCTCCAGTTTTGGCTACTAGGTTCTTACTTGCTATTCATGTTCACAAACAATCTTGTATTGATGCTGTCAAACAAAAAAACCTTGTATTGAATAGCAGGTTTGGCCAACTACCTTTTTTAGGCCAGATGAAAATTGCATCCCCTTCTATTATGCAAGCAGAAGTTGGTTCTAAACTTGCGCTAATAGCATTAGAGCAAAATCAAAGTTCTCTGAAATAAAACAACTTCTTTTTGTCAACCTACCACTTAGAGAACCAAGAACGAGAAGGTCCTGATCTACATGGCATCAAGCTTCCCCGACGGGGATTAATAGAGTAGTTTTACTGTTTGCTGTATGGGTTAGAGAAGTATGGAGTAGTGTTGTTAGGAGTTATTTACCCAAAACCATCACATTTGGGTTAGGATAACAACTTGGTACCACATTTGAATCAGGGCACAAAAAACCACAAAAAATGCGCCTAATCTGTAACGCGGAGTACTGATGCTGGAATTTGGCCGCGAAAACAGTAAAACTGATAAGTTGGATCCACATGTTAGGCTAACATGGCGTGCTTATGTGGACAATATGCTGACTTGGACATAGGTCCCACCTGTCAATGACTCAAGTATTTTTTTTTCCTTTTTACTTCTTCCTCCTTTTTCTCTGGGCATTTCAACAAACATATTGTGGGCACCCGTAGGCCAGAGCGATGTTGCCATGGCGTCGGCCATGAGCCTCCATGCGTGCCGTCGCACCTCCTCCCCATGGTCACAAGGGACTATAGGCATGCGCTCGTGCGAGCTGCGAGTGCGGGGGCACTATGGTCGAATGACTGAAGTAGGAGGCATACGTGCGGGCGCAAGCATGCTCGGCGTTGTCCATGGCGGACACTGGAGCTTGCCTGCCATGGAGGAACACGGCGAGAAAATTCAAAAAACGAGCCACCGGACTCCATTGACTACAACGCCTCACCGCGACTCCAGCCTGCCACGAACAACAAGCGGACACGGCGGCCCCGTCACAACTTCTCCCGCTACCGCGCTTACACTCGCCGTCGTCTGCGTCTAATCCTATACCGCTCGTC